TGGTCAACTCTACTTTGAGGAAGCATTTTTTTCCCCAGTTGCATTCTGATTGCCTTCCCACCTTCCGGTCCTGTATCTGACAGTGTTTCTCTGCTGTTCATAGAGTTTTCAGTGACTAGCAATTTGGAAGTAGTTTGTCACTCTTTCTTCTTAGTCTGTCTTTGTTTGGAAGCTCATCTGAAACCTGTCCACCATGGGTGACCCTGCTGGTTATTTAAAATGCCGGTGGCATAGCCCTCAGAATCACAGCAATTCAAACCACCACAGCACGGCAGACAGACCAGTGGTGGTTGCGTGGTTGCTGTTAAATGGGAATCTCCTTGTGCTAGGGCCCTTAAGTACGGCTCAAAGGCGGGATTTCTGTCTTCGGATGTCAATCAAGAGGCAGAAGCACAGCAGGGGTGACTGGGTTGTAGTGAGACACTTTGGGCTGTGCTTATGGGTCTTTAAGTTGGTCGACCCGCCTCAAAGCCAGGATCCAAGGTTTAGGCTAGGAAGGCGCTCTTGCGTGGGGGGTATGTAGGACAGCCTGGCCGGTCCCTGCAGTCTCTTCCCATTAGACAGCGTCTCCCCCATCGACCTGGTCTCCAGACACCTCTCACCCCACCGCTCCTTGACCTGGGTTTCATTTAACACCTCCACCAGGTCTGCGCAGTTCTTGCACATCATGTAGCTGCTGCCCTCCATGATGGCTACTCATGCTGAGTAGCAAGGAGCAAAAGCAGCAAATACCAGTTATACATGTATAGTGTACCTAATGGCTTAGTAACCATTATTGTCATTATTATTATTATTATTATTATATACATTTTTAGCTTAAAAAAACAACAACATTAAATTGCTCATGGCAGAGAAGGGCATTTTCTGGAAACTTTGAAGAAGGGCTGTCAGCCAGCAGGGGGCAGCATCAGCTCTTACTTCCAATCTGATGCCCTGTTCCACAGATAAAGTGGGGGGTTTCAAAATGTTTGAGTAAAAACTCCATTGTCTTTTAATTCCATTTTTCTACAGTTTTTTTTGAAGTCCCTTTGTAGCTCCCAGAAGTCAGATAGCCTTTGAGCCTCTCAAGAAGAAGCAGGCTTTGAAAGTGATTTTGGGTGTTAGACCTATGTGAATGTGTATCTTCAGTATCATGGTTATTGTTGTTGTTAAGTGCCATGGAATCAGTTCCGTCTCATAGCAATCCTGTATAGGGCTTCCAAAGAGCAGGTAGTAGGTTTGAGTTGCTAACCCTGTGGTTAGCAGTTCAGTGCTTATCCTTCAGTGCCACACCAGGACTCCTCATATCATTATCAATGTGTAAAAATGCATGCATGTTAGTCACTGAGAATTTATGAAAAGTTGAGAGCTTTGGATGATAGGTTTACAAGGTTTGTGTTATCTCCTGAATTTAATCATTTTTAATAAGAACAAAAGAGAGAAATAGCAGCATTGAATTTTACCATAACTTTGGAAGTTTACTTTTTGCCCATACATTTTACAATTTGTCTTTAGGTTGCCCATGACATGATAGAGGGTCAGAGCTCTGGTCCCCAAATTAGATCTGGGTGTTAGCCCTGTCCTGCCTCTCACTAGCATTGTGACTTTGTACAAATTGTCTAACTTTCTTCACCTCAGTAAAATGAAGATAATACCTACTTCCGCAGGTGGTCATGGGAGTCATGTTTGCCATCGGACTTCATTTAGTCCTCTCAAGGCATCTGGCTGACTCTTAGTTACTTCACTAGATTGTAGCTGTTATTGTCATTATATTACTTTATATGTATAAAGCTTTTCAGAAAAACAACAGTAACTGCTCATGAACAAAGTTTTAGGGCTTATCTCAGCTGGTTCTTATAGTCACTCTGTAATGCACATGTTGCCTCTACGATAATTTTGCCCATTTTAAAGAAATTAGGTAACTAACACACATAGAGTAAGACCATTCACTTAGCAAAGGGGAAGTCTCTGGGTAGAGCAAAGGATTTGCTCTCTATAGCATAGTGGTTACAAGTCAACAGTTCAAACTACCAGCAGTTCCATGGGAGAAAGACGAGGCTTTCCGCTCCCATAAAGATTTACAGCCTTGGAAACCCTATGCAGGGTTGCTGTGAGTCAGAACTGACTCCATGGAATACCACCACCACCACCACCACCACCACCACGAATCAAAAGGTTGGTAGTTGGAATCCACCCACTGGTGCTGCAGAAAAAAGGTCTAGTGATGTGCTTCTGTAAAGACTTCAGCCAAGAAAACCACATGGAGCAGTTTCTAACACATGGGGTCACTGTGAATTGAAAGTCACTGAGAGCAATGTTTGTTTGTTTATTGCCAGGATACTGCCAGTTCTTACAACTTCAAATCTTACATTCTTTTCAGTGAGCAGCACTGCTTTTGGTCTTCAACTGAAAGGAAAAATAAATTTGGCTGGTGAAATTAAATCTTTCCAGGAAAAAAAAAAAAATTAATCCACATGCTTCCCGACTATTTTCAGTCAGTCAGTCAGTCGATCTCTCTCTCTCTCTGTCTCTGCCTTTCACAGGCACATCTTCTTATTTGACTTGGCAGTGATTGTGTGTAAAAGGAAAGGAGATAACTATGAAATGAAGGAGATAATAGATCTTCAGCAGTACAAGATAGCCAACAATCCGACAACTGATAAAGAAAATAAAAAGGTGAGTTCTTGGAAGTTAATAACTAACTGTACCTTTGCTGTAACATTAAATATCCAGGAAAAGTATGCCTACCAACTCAGGTGTTTTTGTTCCCAGAGACTGATTAGGCCCAAACCGCTATGAGAAATAATTGAACAATGTCCCAGCTGTCCTGATCATCCCTCATGCCTTCATGATCCCGACAGTACAAATGCACCTGCTATAGAAATGATTACATAGACAGTCCATGGTCACAGCAATAAACTTATTGGTCACTGTTTATATGTTGACGGTGTTATGGGATTTTTTGGTGCAATTATGGTAAATTTGGAAATGTGATGGATATCATTATTAATGTAAATTAACTCAACTCATTTTAATTTTCACAGTGGTCTTATGGTTTCTACCTCATCCATACCCAAGGACAAAATGGGTTAGAATTTTATTGCAAAACAAAAGATTTAAAGAAAAAATGGCTGGAACAGTTTGAAATGGCTTTGTGAGTATTCTACTTTTAAAAGTGCTTTCCCCCCCCCCCACACACACACACACACTTAGACCTCTTATGAATAATGAACTACCAATAAATGTACTCTAATGCTTGTAGCATGTGTACAGAAACTGGGAGGCACTGTGCTCTAAGCATGAGTGCTATTAGGCTGTCTGAGAGCGCTGGTCTCCAAGGAAAGGGGTTTTGGTGAATTTCTTCAAGAAGAAGAAAGAGGGAGCTCTAACCCTCCTTTTGACTTTCTTATCAGCACATTTTAATTCTTCAGTTTTCAGAAGCCCAAGAAAATATTAGTTATTCTAATGATTTTTTTAGTTGTCATGATAACATACACACATGTATAGTACAACATGCACATGAGGGGACTTCAAAAGTTTGTGGAAAAATGGAATTAAAAGAAAATGGAATTTTTCCAGAAACTCTTGGAAGCCCCATATATATGTGTATATAGTGTGTGTGTGTTTCTGTGTGGATGTATGTTTATATACACACACACAGGGGGCGTGGGAAGTTAGTGGGAAAATTCCATTATCTTTACATATACAAACACACACACAAATCCCACAGGGGCTTCAAAAATTTTCTGAAAAAATGGAATGAAAAGATAATGGAATTTTTCCATGAATTTTTTGAAGCTCCTTCCTCTCTGTCTTTGAATTAAGTAGAAATATGCACACATACACAAGTCCATGCATATGTGTATATGTGAATTTCTCTTATTTTTAATGGAAAGATTGATTTCTTCCAGCTGTGTGTTCTTAACTCATGTATTGTTTGAATCCTGGCTAAATTGCTTGATGTATTCAATTGAATGCTGTAAGGGCTTGGCTTCTTTCATTATTCGTTCCTTTTATTGAAGAATCTCAACAAAGAGGTGGAAAATAAATCAGACTTGATTCAAAAGGAATAGCTTACAGAGATGCAATTATACAGAACGTGCCATTAGAGGTGTTTCTTTTTCACTCTGGTGTTTACGGATTGAAAGGTACATAATGACCCTGGTTATGGAAATGCATAGGTCACATTGAAATTGAAACTCTTCGTAAAAGGTGAAATTATTTAGGGAAATGCACTTTTGCAGCTTGTTTCATTTGTGTCTTTAGCATTATTTATCCATTATGGAGCAACTCTACGGTGTTTTCATTTGTTTTGTTTTTCTTTAAGAAATGCTCATGTTAATAGAACACAGAGGTAGGAACTGAATTTTTTTTTATTATAATTGTGAAAAGAGAAAAATAAATATTCTGTTAAGATTATTTTATCAAACATTTTGGGAGACAGAAATATATAAGAGAAAGATTTTTTAACTTGCAGACTGTTACATCATTTTTATAAATTGACTATGTAGTCTTAAATTCTCAGAACCATAGTTTCCTCATGGGTAAAATAGAGATCACAGTATTTATTTTGAATTCCAGATAATGTATATCAGGCAGATTGTTGTTGTGAAGTACCATTGAGTTGGTTCTGATTCACAGCAATCCTGTATAGGTTTCCAAGGAGCAGCTGGTGGAGTTGAACTGCCGACCTTGTGTTTAGCAGTCCAGTGCTTATCCTACAGCAAGATTACTGTACACATAATACAATAATTGTCATATAATATTGAGAAGTAACTGGTATTTACTATTATTACTATTATTAATGTTGTTTTTATTTAGGATCTTGATGCACTTATGGATGTTTATGAAATCAAAGCACATTTTCTACTATACAGTTATAATCCATGTCATTTATTGCTGTTGATTATAATAATTTAAAGAGGTTAGTAGTTTTGTGCATGAATGCAGTTACTTTACTACAAGGACTCATTTGTGTGTACACAAATGACAAAGGTTGTGAGTCTCTCCAGTCTCTGATGAATACTGGACTTCATCATAAACCCGACTCCTCCACCAACCAGTTGTCATCTAGTTGATTATGACTCATGGCGACCTCATACGTGCCAGAACTGTGCTCTGTATGGATCTCGGTGGTGGATTTTTTCAAAAGTGTTCACCAGGTTTTTCTTGTAAGGTACTTCTTCTGGGTGTACTCAAACCACCAGCCTCTGGTTAGCAAATGAACCATTTGCACCACCTAGCATATCCCATCATAAACCCAATGTGCTTTCTTAGTGATGTCTCAAGTGATGGCCAGTACCAGGAGCGGAGCTGTCAGCATTGGAGTGACAGGGGATGGCGATCACATGCCAAAGGCATTGCTGATCTCAAATATCTGCTCTTGTGGGAAGGATGCTAGGCTAAGTATTTTCATATGGGTTCTGTTTGGTTACAAAGTCTTCAGATAGTGAAGGCCTTCTGAGGGAGAGAGAAGTAAGATTTTTTTTTTTTTTAATTCCAGAGCAAGTAGGTTTCTTGGACTGTATGATAGATACAGCAGTTAACATTTTGTTCAGCTGTCATGAATCAAACATCTATGGTCCATATATAAGAGCTTTGTAAGATAGAGATTTATATCCCTTGTATATAAGAATGTAGTGCAAGTACAAGAGAAGTGGTGTGGTGGCTCTTTGGAATATCATAAGGGACCCAGATGCATATTTCCTGCTCTTCCCTGATCCATATTTGATTTCCATAGATACCTACAGAAGCCCTAGCTCTAGCATCTACATTCCAGACCACTAAGGTATGATCCTTTCCTTTTAAGGATCATTTGCAGAAATGTCACATTTTTCTCTGTGTTTTACGGACCAGATTTAGTTAAAATGGCCACACCTGATGAGGGAACTTGGGAAATATGAGGTGGCTTAAAAAAGTTCTTGGAAAAATTGAATTAAAAGGTAATGGAGTTTCCCCCAGTCTTTTTGAAGTGCCTTCATCCAATCTTTATTCCAGGCAGGAATGTGTCTAACAATCTAAGTTCTCTTACCTAGATGAGGGGAGGAATAGGTAGGTGTAGGCATCTAGCAGTTGCTGCTTTGCAGGTTTCTACATATAGGAATAGGTTGTTGTTGCTAAGTGCTATAGAGGCGATCCCAACTCATAGCAACCCTGTTTAGGATTTCTGAGACTGTAATTTTCGCTATAGGAATCTGGGTGGATTTTCTTTGTTCCACCACAAGAAAGGTATCTGTAGCACACACATAGAAATTGTGATTCTTAATCTTTGGATACTTTCCAGGTTACTCAATAGTATAATGAAATATCCATTGCTGTAGTTACTAGCTGCTCAGCCCACAACTCAGTTGATCCATCGAGTTTTCATTGGTTGAGTTTTTGGAGGTAAATTGCCTGGCATTTCTTCCTAGTCTGTCTTATCTAGAAGTTTTTCTGAAGCCTGTCCAGCATCATAGTAGTACTCAAGCTTCCACTGACAGATTGGTGATGGCTGTGCTTCAGGTTCATTGGTTGCTAATTAAACCTAGGTCTCTCACATGGAAAGCCAGGAGTCTACTATGGAATCACCATTGCTTCTACTTTTAAGAGCCTTGTTGGCATCTAATCAATTCTGACTCATAGAGATCCTGTATCACAAAATAGAACTGCTTCATAGAATTTCCCAGGCTGGATATCAATAGACATGATTATTTATATTTCAAAATTCCATTAACTGCCCATGCAGCTAGTGAGAGGGTGTGGTGTGGTGGCTCTTTGGACTATCATAAGGGACCCAGATGCAATGTGAAGTCACATTGACTTCAAAGAAGTACCTTTCTTGAGAAATGCTCAGACTTAAAATTGACTATAAGCAGAAAATATGCCATGTGATACAACAAAAAGATTGAAATTTTATTCAAATATCAGAATATTCCATTATTATTTTATTTCCTCCCCTCTTTTCTGAAGCTCACTATGTCTCTACAGTGTCCCTTTTTGAGCTTTGTAAAGTAGTTTTTGACTGCCTTGTTGCCTAGGAAAACTAGAATAATGTAGGTAAGTCATGATATTGCAGACTTTGACTATGGCTCAGGTTAAATGTTTGGACTGTTATCTAAAGTTCTAATAGTCTTACTTTTAGAAGCCATGGAGAATAAAAGAAAAATAAGAAATTTTACAATATGCATAGAAACACATGACAATCAGCAGGCCTGGTGTGTCTCCATAGACTGGCATTCTCACCTCTCTTGAGCATCAGCATGTCCACTGTGTCTTCCTAGAGCACTTTGGCCTGTGACTTTAAGGAATTCTGGAAGGGAAAGTGAGGCATTGGTGGGAGGGTGGCGGGAAATCAAGGGAGGTGATATTTTAAGATTGATGGAATGCTTGCCAGTTCTATTTACAGAAGATGGCAATTCTGCTGTTTATAGGATGATTGGATCACATTGACTTCAAAGTTTTCAAATCACCTTTAAAGGTGCTGCAAATACTGCTCTTAATTTAGAACATTGAAAAGCACCATGGAAAAGCATGACTACCAATACACAATAAGTATTCAGTACACAAAATTCCTCTCCCCAGAGATGACCTAAATCTCAGCCTCCATCTTTCCCAAGTATGGCCTCATTCTTGTGTGGTAGCAAGCAGTGGTCTCTGCACTTCTTGGGCCATAACCACGCCCAGCATTTAAAGGATGCACTGGACCATAACTGAAACGAGCAGACCTCCATCACAAAGGCGGAGCAAGGAGAAAAACCGCAGCCAGCCCACTTGGATAGGACATGAAGAAGACTTTTATATTTAAATAATTATTATTTTGTGTGTGTGTGTGACAGAGAGAAAGAGAGAGAGAGAGAGAAATGGTAGTTTGATGACTCTGGAGGTTGTTGGAACAGTTAAGGAGCTGCATTCTGTGTAGGAACTGTAGTTCTCTCGGCACCCTACTCTAGAGAAGATACTTTAATTCTTAAGAGACTGTTTAATATGCACTCCTTACTCTTACCTATTTCCAAAAGAGCGTTTTGCCACCAGCAGTCTCTCTCAGTTCCACTCAGTGTGAAAGTCGGATGGCATGTATTTTTATTGGCTTAAGCTGGTTTCCACAATGATGTTGGAAAACGTGGATGTGAGCACCTCTAATGTTAGGGAACTGTGTCTGCTCCGCATCTCTTAGAT